CATCATGAGATGAGTCTCGATGCCTTCTCTGTTCAGCTCTACTCCCTTGTCGATCACGTTTCTATACCCTACTCTGTACAAACAATGTCTCCCTCCTCTCTCCGTTATAAACCTAGTTAGCCCCATACTCGTTCTTGCGTCCGTCACTATTGTACTTCCTAAATCCACACTTAAAACCACCATTATAAGTCACATAAACTAACCAAAGATTAGGATTAACAAACAACTTCATTAGCGTAAACCAACCTGGATGTTCTTTGAGCACAATCGCTGACATGAGCGCAATGAGCTTATCTCCGTTTATAGGATTTCCTCTGTTATCCACCACTCCGCTCCGGTCAACATCCGTGTCAAACACAACCCCGAGATCCGCTGAGTTCTCAAGAACCGCGGCTCGGGTGCGTGACATTGCGGTTTTGTCTTCCGGATTAGGAATGTGATTTGGAAACATCCCATCTGGATTAAGGTATAGAGAACCGAATGTATCGGCTCCTAACTTGTCAAGAACGTCCCATGTAAAGAACCCTCCTGACCCATTACCAGCATTCACTACTATCTAACATACACCAACCAAAAATCATCATGATTTTGTATCAAAACACTCAAGACAGAGAGAGAGAGACTATGAAGCTAGATTCTTGCCTGAAATCCTTTGAGAGGAGTGTCATAGTGTTCAGGGTGATTGATTCTCTCTTTAATGATTTCTCTAAGGTGCTTAGAGTAAGCGCTCATGAAATCCACTTGCTCTGGTCGAGTTCTGATCAATGTAGAGACTTTAGTCTGTCTATTTGCGTACTTCCTCGCAGCTAAGTCGCATATCTTCTCCACTTCAGGAGACGTTAATCCTCCTCTCTTGGTAAAGAACTTGAGACCGTTTCTTGTATACGGTAAATGAGACGCCGTCATCTTCCAAAACCACAACAACTAAAACATGTCAGAATCACACATCTTGGAACAATATTCAAAACACAGAGCTCATGTTACCATAATTGAAGCGTCGTATTCGAATGGAGAGAGTAACGTGCTCATGAAGCAAGCAGGAGTAGTAGCTAAACCCATGTCAAAACCTAAACAACCAGCACGAGCTAAACCGGCAAACACGGCCGTGCTCAGCTTCCCACCTGAAACACGAGGGTCACGTCCTAGAGAAACCCTAGTTACGCCGTTACCGTTACTCTCCGTTGATGCAACCCATTCTCCGAAGCTCTCTGCGATTGCTTCAACAGCCGCAGGCGTTAAATCAACCGTACGGCCTTTCTCTCCTTCCAATGCGACTCCTCTCACGTCAGAACCGTTTTGTAACCGTCGAATCTGGTCCATGTCCTCGTCGATACTGTTGGTTACTTCATCGAACTTAGTGGCATTTGAAGATCTAATCCTGAGAGGTTTAATCGAAGGAGAAGCTGGTGTGAATGTTAAGAAACTCCGTTTGATTATTCCTGGTGAGCATAGAAACAGAGCTGTTTCGGAGATTACAGCTTTTGAAGCCATAAAAGATGATGTTGAAGTCGACGCCATATGATTGGAAATTTGGAGTAAATTAGATACAGAGAGTTTCAAGTTTTAGACTTGAAAGCAGAGATCTAACGAAAGAAACATATATCTGCGAATATAATTCCAAGCTTAGATTTTTATTTCTTGTTTGTATCTAATCCGTGATTTTTCCCTTACAAGTGTTTTTTCAAATTTGAGATTTGGAGACGGATAAGATTCGTAACTAGATGAAACCATAACCTTACGTTTTGAATATCTCTGCAATTCCACATGTTTAACAAACCAAAAAATAAATAAAAAGATAAATACTTCGCAAGCAAACTTCCAAGCTTATTAGATTTCTTTTTGTTTTTTTCTTCTCCACGTTTTTTTCTTCACCTGCATACAAAATTACAACAACAGCATATTCTATATGAGGAGAAAACTCGCGGGAAACTAGAAACGGTTTAAAATTTATAGCCAAACTTTTCCATTACAAAACAGAGTAAGTACTCTGTTCTGCTTATTGCGATTTTGTCAGAAAGCCAAAACAAACTTAGATCTTTTTTTGTTATTACACACAATGAGAGTTTAAGAACCATCAAGATACTTCAATTTCGTTTCACAGTCCTCTAGAACCTGGAATCTCAATCCATTCAAGCTGAATCTCGACTTCGCCGCATTCGACATTCCTCAACACAAGAATCATGTCCTGAACGATCTTGCCATTATTGAAGATGATTCTGCTCTCTTCAGACAAGCAGTTGTCTTTGGTGGGCAAAACTCTCTTGATCTCTGTTCCATCTGGGAGTTCTTGCAAACCCAGTTTGAGAACCTCTAGGAACGGCTTGATATCTATCTCCGCATCTCCCATCTTGTCGTGCGACGTGAATGTATCTTTATCATACACGATCTGTTCACATAGATACCCAAAAAAATTGGATGGATCTAATCGGAAGTCCATTAATCTTAAAAGTGGTAAATGAAATAGTTGTATTCACCAGATTCAAAGGTTCATTGGAATCTTTGATTGCAAGTGTCAATTCCTCGTTCCACTCTGGGTTGCAGTTATTTGCCACAGTACGACCCTTCAGCTTCTGGTGCAATTCAACGATTTTAAAATCAGACAGAGAACATCATTAGAAGATCAAAGCCAATTTTATCTTTTTTAGATGATTAGAATTCTCTTCTTTTTTCCCATCTAAGAAGAGAGTAACCAGAGATATATAACTCAAGAACAGAGAGCAGATCGGAATCAAGAAACCCAGAAGACAAAATCAGATTAGAATCAGACAGAGAAATAGAGAGAGACCTGTGTTCCCATGGTTATGACGACAAAAGGGTCGCTGCTTAGAGTGTCTCGTTTAGCGAGATTGATCCCTTTCTTCACTCGGATTCTCAAAAGTCCTGCCATTTCCTCCATCTCAACCTCTTCCTCTGTTTTTTCTGTAATTTTCTCTATTTTTTCTTATGAATTTTGAAGAGAAAACACACCACGATCGATGTCTCTGCTCTGACTCGTCTACTTTTCTTATTCCCTAAACAAATATTTCCGGCTCAAATTCAACGAGACTACTTATATTGGCTTATCAATGGACGAAAGAGCGAGAAAATAAATAAAGATCTACTAATATAGTACCCTTATAAAAAAGGTTACTTTTCCAGATATTTGTTTCCTAACTTATCCTCTCTCATCTACGCGTTACTCTCACGAACATCTTCTGGATTCTCTTTACTTTAGTATTAATGTCTTCTGGATACTCTTTACTTTAGTATTAATACCTTCTAGATTCTGTATTTCTGACAATGAGTACATCTGTGACCTTTTTGCGTATCTTCCCACCACTTGCTGCAACAATATATACAACAACAAATCACATTTCAAAAAATGCTATACTACAAATAAATATCTATATATTCCCTTTATCTATCACGACGCAACAAAGCCTCAGTATACCTTAGATATTCGGAACTTAAACCTTAGAAAACTTATAGAGGTTCTAGAAATTCAGGTTTTGCTTTATTTCTTCAATAGTAGAAACAGATACAAATATATGTAAGGGTTGGGTTATTCGACATGTACAACTAAAGATCAAAGCAGAGCCTTTTTTTTGTAATTAAAGTCTGATGAGACAAAGACGTCTTTCCATGAACATAAGAAGAAAAAACCATCACATCTTCACGGTCTTGTTTTAACATTTCTGCATCTTTTAGTCCAATCGTTTTGTTGGCATCCATGGTGTCTTCTTGGATCCTAAGAGAAAGAATGCTCGCATTTAAATCACAGAAAGCAAAAAAAAAAAAAAAAACAATCATAGATATGCACAAACCAAAACAGAGGATTTGTTATCAACATATACCTTCGCGGCCAAGACCCTTGCAGCCTGGACCGTCAGTCCACTCAAGCATGATCTCCACTTCCCCACACTCCACATTCTTTAGTCTAAGAATCATGTCTTGTTTGATCTTCCCATTACTCCAAGTGATGCTGCTTTCTTCAGCCAAACAGTTGGACCTTCCTGGACGGATCCTCTTGATCGCACAACCATTGGGGAGCTTCTGGAAATCTAACTCCATCTGATGCGCTTCTAGGAAAGGCCTCATGTCTATTTCTGCATCACCCATTTTGTCATCTCCCGAGAATCTGTCTTTATCAAACACCGTCTGCATAAACATAGCATCATAGTATGAGCTAAAGGCCATGGAACATTTCATAATGAGAGAAAAGAATTCATAATAGATGTGATAGCTTACCAGACGGATTGGATCATTCACATCTTTGATGGAAAGGGTCAGTTGTTCGTTCCACACTGGATTACAATTACTATTGATCACACGCGTCTTAAGTTTCTGAAGCAACGACATAAAAAGAAAAGGTCAAAAAGAGATGAAAATAAAAATACACATACAGAAAGTTACCTATGGTACAAATGATGATAAAGGGGGCTTCACAAGGTACAAACACAGGGACACAATAATCAAGGCTAAGTCAATCATGTCTCACTTTTCTATTTGATATCGTTAACTACCACACTCCTAACTTTGACAGGTATCCTTTGCAACAAGACTAATGTTTAGTAGCTTTAAGACATGACCTTCAACAAGATTATGCATGAGCCTAGACATCAATCATTTCCAAGAAAACTAATGATGTTTGTTTTGGGAGATGACCCTTGAACAAGATTAGTCGACTCGACATGTGTGGATTGCAAGAAACAAATGCTACCAGCTTAACAAGATTGAACCTTTCACCAGATTATGTATCGCAAAAGACAAGATAATGCTTAGGGTGTTTTGGATAGTTTGTTGTTTAGCAAAGAAGATACAAAACGAAGATCAAATTGATATCCTTCTCACATGGTGGCCACCAAAACTGTCACATGGTGAAAAAGGCCAATCCTTGTTAAAAAAAAATCACATTTAATCTAAAAGATATAAAATTTCATCACTAAAGAATCAAATCGAAACTATGAATGCGTAACCTAATCAAAAGGCAAGAACCCAGAAACGAAAACAAACAAACAGACCTGATGAGCCAATGTTACAACAACATAAGGATCGCTGGTCGTGGCATCGCGAATCGCGAGATTAATCCCTCTTTTCACATGAACTCTCAGAATCCCTAGCGGTTTATCCTCCATCGCTGCAAAGAAAGAGACTTTATAATCTTCTCAGAGAATTTTTTTTTATAATTTCGAACAAGCGATACCCTCAAGAGATATCGAAGAAGAAAAAATCCCCTGAAACCCTTGCCTGAATTTAGCCCAAATTAAGCGGGGATTTGATGTAATTTATAAATTCGACACGATCTGGAATTTGCAAGGAAGATAGAATTTACGAGAAACGTCGACGCTGATTCGACGCGGGCTTCCGAAAACAATATCGACAGATCCATCCGAATTTTTCGGATATCCGATTTCATCGCTGCTCCTTTGCTTTCTTTAGGGCTCCTCCTTCATCCGCATTTCTCACCTGTACATACACGTTATCTTCAGTACTTCTCATCCATTTTTGATTTATTTTCTTTTCAGTCGCTAAACTTTCATTTATTTTGTTTTTAGTCCCTTAAAGTTAAAAGTTGGAAAAAAAAATAGTATAGGCCAAACATGCAATTCGACCATGTCTACAATTCTCTCACACGCTTTATTTAAAAACAAATTATAAGAGAATGAAATAACTTATTTTCGTCAACTACTAAAGTTATAAATATTCCAGTTTGATGCGTTCTATATTTGACTCTGATTTTTGGTGTATTTTATTGTATATTAAAATTGTATAAAGAATAATTGAGACTTTGAGAGTGACTGAAAAAATTCAAGATTTTTATCGGCGGAATTGAGATATATAATATATTTGTATTCTATGGAGCAACTGTACCATAATAGACTGAGATTACAAAAATAACGTGTGGCATGTTGAAAATGAATGGACATAAAGAAATTGGGGAATCTGGCTAGTGGCTAATTGAACAGACACAGAGTGGCTGGACAATAATTAAAGAGAAGCCGTCTCCTATTTTATTGTTATTCTTGTATTCTTCCTAATCGTACGTTTGAAATTTTAAGTCATAAGCTGTCACATACTCAAATTCATTTATTTTTGTATGGATGATGTTGATTTGGAATATGCTAATGACCTGTTATTTAATGTAGGGTATATACTCCTTGTCTTTGAGTTAGGGAAATTCAAAATTCCGCCGTTTCTTCGACTGGTGTATGATGTTTTAATCATCTTTTAACGTACAAATGTTTTCTAATTTATATGTATTAAATGTAGATATGTAGAGAGACCGTTCGTTTGGCAGCAACTGCAACTAAACGCTATTCGTTTTGCTGTCACAACATTAGGAAATTTGAAACGTTAAAAATTTTAATGACATGTTTTAAATTTGGTAATCAGCTGCAACATTAATTAGCTAAAGAACACGATCAACAATATATGAATGATGTCGTTAGTTGTTGTTGATCGCTATTGCCTATGACCCAACATGACCATGTAATACCAATACCATATTAGCTGTTATTTATATATACTGAAACAAAATATGATACGATATTTGTGCCAGATAGCTACACAATAAATCATACATATGTTAATTAACCGGACAAGTTTAGTGGCATCGAGCGACTCAGGATAAGACATGGAAGAGATGAGATGATAAGAAGAAATTAGGTGATATATATAAATCATAATGCATGGAGAAGAGATTGATAGCTTTGTGAAATTTATGACATCTCTATCTATGCTTCGTTGGTTTGTCATATCCGTCCGTCAGTCATGTGCTCTATGTCTATCTCACTATCTTTAGTCATAAACTTTTAGCTTGTTATGCACCGTTCAAAGATCATGGCCCATATGATGCTCTCTGCACCTTATTCTGTTTTCCATATTGATTCCATTTATCTACACATGTAATTTAACCATATTATGAGAGAAATTTGATTGTATTGTTCAGAAAATAATCAAGATCTCGATGCAAAAGATTCGATATCTTTGATAAAGTTTATCTTCAATTGTTCCTAGTTAATCATGTCTTCGTTTTTGTCTTTGTTTCAAATTTATCGGGCAACTTAATAGATTCGACTAAGTCGGACTAACACAAAATAAATAAATTGTTAAGACTCGATTATATTCTAAGGACTTGTTACCCAATTACTGTACTACAAATTTATTCTAAATTTTGGCGCAAAATTTACATTATTTCATGTTAGACAATGATAGGTTTCTGCTTTCTATGACTCGAGCCCACCTAACTAAGACCCAAAATTAAATACCCCAAAGGATTTTGAAATTTCAACGCTTCAAAAATAAAAAAGGTAACGAAGAACATGCATGAAACATTCTTAGTGTATTTAGGTATATGCCACAAATCAAAATAAAGTTGTCGAGAGTGCTAATAACCATGTTAGATGTTGCGTGTATCTAAGACATTTCACCAACAAATAAAAGATGAATTTTGGTACAACTCTCCTCGAACGTCTTGCTTGATGCTCTGAAATAGATTTTATATTCCATAGAGATCTGAGGTTTGTAAGATTTTTAAAACTAGTTTAAGTTAAAAAGTAGAAGAAACGTGTAACTTCTCAAGTTTAATTTGGGGAGGTTTGTATCGGTGGGGAACCTAAAAGCAGCAAGGATCAGGACAATGGTCGAACGCATGACACGTGATGCTCTTTCACTAATGCCACTTCTCATGATGCTCAACTTCGATAACGACCGTTTACCATTTATCACTTCATATTTTACCCAGAAAACAAGAGAGAGTTCGATATGTATAGGAGTCGCAAAAGAAAACAACTTCGTCATCTTTTCTATATAACCGTCCACATCCTCGATTCTTTGATTTTTTTTTTTTTTTTATGGTCAAACTGATTCTTTGATTTTGTTAATGTTTGTTTCTATGTTAATTGTAAGTATTGTATATTTTATTAGAACAAATAGATATCCTATGTGATAAGTTCTAAATCACTCTAGAAAATCCTAGAAAATCGCCGTATATCTCTAACATCCATGTCTAAATAAAACAAAAATTAAGATCAAATCACTTGCAAATATAAAAATATATAAGTATTATGGACATGATTTTGCTATTTTTTTAATATTTAAAACATTTGATAAGTTTTAAGTTATGAATACCTTACTACTTAAGATGTGATATGATTACAAAATCTATTTTAATAACAATATAAAATATTCGACATTTACATCATCTTTTAGTTATAATATTTTTTCTGTTTGTTTTGTTATAGTCTACAACAACTCACATTTTTTTTTGCTCAAATCAAACCTTTCATTAACCAACATGTTTTACAAAATAGGTCGATCAACCTCAACATGTTTTACGACAACTCACTTTGAACCAAAGTTTTTTAGAATGTGAAAGCATTGAACCGCACCAAACCGAACCGAATCTGCATTTAATTTTTAATTTTGTTTTGGGTACGAGTATCTTGGTGTACTGATTAACTCGGTAGATACACGGGAAAAATTAACACACGTCAACCCAAAAAGAAAAAGGAAAAAAAAAGGCCCGTTTCCAAAAAGCACCAAAAAGGTTAACAGAACAATTAGATTTAGGAAAATCCCCAAATTTCTCAAATTTCCGAAAAAAGCCCTAACCCTAACTACCTATTTAAATAACCCCTTTTGGCCTCTTGAGCTCAAACAATCACATCCTTCTTCTCGTCTCTCTCTCTCTGCTTCGCAACCAAAAAAGAAGTGCTTCTTCGCTTCCTCGATCTCATCTCGTCTCGCCTCTCTTCTCCAAAATTAATTTTACTGTGGAATCGTTTGTGAATGGTGGAAACGAATCCGATTGGTGGTAAGTTTATGCTCTCCCTTCCAATCCAAAGGGCGAGCTTCTTCCTCCCTCTCTCGGCTTCCTCTGCTTTCGCTTTTGGATCCTGCAAAGAAGGCTGGTACTTTCGCTGCCTCGGCCTCGACCCGTGAATCGATCGATCGTCCGATTTGTTACATTGATTGATTGATTCGTTGTGATCTGCCGATTTTGTTTTTTGTGTCTCTCTGTAATTGAAAATTTTCTCGAAGATGTTGCTTTACAACAAGCAGAAGAAGAACCAGAACGCTAAAGGAAACAGGATCCTAATCAGCGTTACGGTTCTGGGTAGCGCCGGTCCGATCCGGTTCGTTGCGTATGAGGAAGATCTCGTCGCTTCGGTTATCGACACTGCTCTTAAATGCTACGCTCGTGAAGGTCGTCTTCCACTTCTCGGATCCGATTTCAATGACTTTCTTCTCTATTGTCCCATGGTTGGACCTGAAGGTAACCAACTCTTGTTTTTAAGTCGAAATTTCGTTATGGTTTACTGATATTTGATATTGGTTATTGGTATTGTGAATAGCTTTAAGCACATGGAACGCAATTGGATCGCTTGGTGCACGGAACTTTATGCTGTGTAGGAAACCGGAGGAGAAGAAGAAGGAAGCTACTAATGGAAGATCTAGCTCAACCATTAATGGAGGAGCAAGAAAAGGAGGAAGCTTGAAGGCTTGGATCAACAAGTCCTTCAGCCTCAAAGTACCCAGCCATTAAACATTATTTTCTTTCTTTCTCTCTTTGCAAACAAAACAAAGACCAAACATTGGTTATGATTATGTTTTCTTTAATTTTGCTTTTGCTTATAAGTTGATTCCCAACTTTGTCTGTCAAAGCTTCAACATTGAAGCCTTTTCTTTTACATCTCTCATTCTCCGGAAATAAAAAGTTTCAAATTTTCTCCCTTCTTGATTCTGCGTTATCTCATAGGTTAGAACAATTTGGTGTGAAATTCAAAATCAATTTACTACAAAGCAGAAAATCAGTTCTGAGTAATGCTTTAGTCGGCGATTAATTTAGTGTTTTTTTTTTAGTGTTTGGTGTCTTCACCTTGCAAGTGGTGCAACTGAGATTATTCCGCAATTTACAGGCCCAAATTGTGGACTTCTTGTTACAAAACCCTGTATTATTCGTCTCGAAAAACACGTTTTCAATTTATTAACAAGTTACAAGAAAAAAAAAAAAAAAAAACAGAGGTGATCAGTGATATTTGTTGTGCCCGTGATGGGAATATTACTTTACCGTATATAGTCTCTTTTTTTTTGTGTTATCGTCGTAAAGTGTCAAGTGGTTTTTACCAAAAATAAAAAAATGTCAAGTGGTGGAGAGGGTACGTCACTGTCGAATCCAAAAATGAAAGTGATAAAATCTGTTTTTGATTAAAAAAGTGGGAGAAAACAAAAAAATTTGCGACAGAAAATAAAAGGGGAAAGTACTTAAGTACAAATGACTAATACACAAAGATTCCGTACCAACTTGTACTCTTGTGCCTCCTCCTCGTGCATTCCACAGTCTTGACGTGCTTCACTTCTCTTCTTCCTTATCACGATAACGACACACTGTTTAATGTCGTCCTTCCATGTCTTTCTACCTTTCCTTATCCAACACGGAGATTTCTAGATACTTCTTTTAACAGTAAAACGACACGATGTTGTCTCGCTGCTTGTGGCTAACCAAGTACTGTGTATTACACACATACGATAAACTATGAGATAGTTTCTAAAATGCCACGTGAACATCACATCTTTCTTTTGTTTAGGTTCGACTTGGATCGTGTTAAGTGGTAAGGTGTTGAGTCTTGGTAAACTATTAGTCCAAACAAAGCTCTCGGTTACACATACTCATCAGTCATCATCCTATACACGATTTACTCCACAAGAAATTCTAATATAAATCCGTTTTTTCTTTTCTTTATTTTTGCTTCTCACATAACAGGTTGAAGTTTTTAAAACATATTGTGAATTGCAGTATTTAGATATGTCTGTAAAACTGGAGAAAGTTAGAACTACTTCGGTGTGGAAATTACTCTATGGCGAAAACTAAAAAAATTATTTATAGTCAAGTTGACATAAACGTGACATTTCACAAGTTAAGGGCCTTTGAAATTTTAATTCATTAGAAGTTTAATGGGCCGGCTTACTAAAACCTACGGGCCTCTATTTGAATGTTGAAATATATTTGAAGACACCCCACACGAGTGTCACAAGATCTCCTTGTTACTTTTGTTCCCCAAAAGACATAGACAAATATTACTTGGTTGCACAAAAAAGAAAGAAGACAAAACCTACTTCACGAAAAGGTCTTAAGACAACAATAATCAGCTGACAAGCACCTCCCACTCACAAGCCAGTCACCAACAACAGTCTGTGAAAACGTGATCCCTCTTGAACGTATACTATTGAACTTGATTGTGCCTAAAACGAAAAATATACTATATGTTATAAACAAATGGGCTTCTAGTAACCGGCCCATTAACCATCAGGTTAATGTCTCATGGCCCATTAGAGTTTCTGATACATTAGTTATGTAATGTATATATACAGTGTTTGTGGAAACAATAAGATAAGAGTTTTTCCCTTAATACGTTATTAGCACAAAGCTCAACTTCAAACGATCATATCTCTCAAAATACAAGGAGTTAGAAGGCGATCTACATATCATTTTGAAGCCCTGGAAGAGAAGAATCTAGTGGTGAAAACTGCTCCTCAATCCGACACCAGACGCGCCCTCAAGACTCAAAACAATCGGCGCTGTCCCACCTTAGCGGGTGATTCTTTCCAAGCGGTGGTTCCTCCATTGTAGCAGCTGTTCGTCCTCCCTTCTGGCCATCATTCTCAGGAGTTTCCAGTAGATATCTGTGGTCTTTAGCTCCCAGATCATAAGCCGGTCAGAAATCCATTTGGCGAAAAGGTATTATCTAAAACTATAGATCCTAATCAAGTTTTGGTTTTTTTTTGAAAACCCTAATATGGATCGGTTCTTTTCATGATTCTTCATCGTCTTTTTCGTTTTTAAAACCATAACCAAACCAATCCTCTTTCTTCTTGTCAAAACCCTAATTGGTTTTATTTTTCCTAATCGGCTTTATCATATAAAACCTAAACCCTAATGCTTTGTTCAAACCCTATACCGATCGGTCCTAGCATCATCTAAACCAAACACTAAAATTCCTTGCAAACCGAAACCTAAATCTTTGTAAAACCCTAGATCTAAAATCGTTTTGGTTTGTCTATCGTTAAACCGAGATCGATCGGTTTAAATCCTAAACCGATCGGTTATTTATCTTAGATCCGATCCTTGAAAACCCTAAAACCGGTCCATGCAAGCTCCTAAATCCTAAACCAATCGACCCCTTAAACTCTAAACCAATCGATCTACCTAAACCGTTTATAAACCGATAAATTCTAATCCTAAATCGATAGGGTTTAAGTTTAAACCGATCGGTTTTTCCTAATAAAAATTAAACCCTAGCAAATCCGTTTAGTTTAATCCCTTAACCGATTAATAATCCTAATAACCGGTTTCCAAAATTAAATCTAATTTAACCGGTTTTGTTGTTTAATCGATCAATCCGATCGGTTTAAGCTTAATCGGTTAATTTCAAATTAGTTTCCAAAATCAATCTCTAGATTGCCTAAACCCTAAACCCTTTAAAAAAAAAAAAAAAAAAAAAAAAAAAAACAATGTTTATCTATTAGAGCTAAATTTGGAAACCCTAGTAAACCGGCTAGGTTATAAACCCTAAAGTTCGATTTTAGAGTTCCCTTATATAGCAAGTTTCCTAAAATAGCAAGTTTCCTAAAATAGCAAGTTTCCTGAAATGGAAAGTTTTCCCAAAAATACCTTAAATCCCTTATTCCAATGATCATAGTCTCATACTATTGATTATTTAACATAAATTATTATATGTTTCAGATGTCAAACATTCAGAAGGTCGAATATGAGGCACTCACTGTCTCCGGAGATAACTACCTCAAATGGGCCCTTGACACCAAGATCTACCTCAACTCAAAAAGTCTGGGTGAATGCATCAAAGATCCCAACACTGCGACTCAAACAGAACGGTACTCGGCGATATTTATTATCCGCCATCACCTCGCTGAGTCTCTCAAGCAACAATACCTCACTCTTGAGGATCCACTCGAACTTTGGGTGGCACTGAAAAAGCGATATGACCATCAGAAAACGGTCATACTGCCCCAAGCCAAGTTCGACTGGAAGAACCTACGGTTCGAAGATTTCAAATCCGTCGAAGAATTCAATTCCGAACTCTTTCGGATAGTTGCACTCATAAAACTATGTGGCGAGGAGGTCAGTGATAAGGATATGCTAGAGAAAACATTCTCTACTTTTGGCACTCCCAATGTTGTTCTCCAACAACAATACCGTGCCATGAATCATAGCACCTATGAGGATTTGATATCTTGCTTACTGCTTGCTGAGAAGAACAATCAGCTTCTGTTGAGGAACAGTGCCATGCGGCCTCCAGGATCAGCCCCATTGCCAGAAGGAACCAGAAAAGAGTCCAACTTCGTCCAACGTAACAGATCCTCAGATCGTGGACGTGGACGTGGAAATGGACATGGACTGCGCGGCAGAGGACGCGGTAGACCAAACCAAGATAACCGACCTAACCTCAGTTTTGGTCGGGGTAAGGGTCGTGGTATCAACAAACCGACCCAAAGAGGCAGTTCATCTAGACCAACTCCTTGCTCAAGATGCGGAATGACTAATCATTGGGTCAAGATCTGCCGTACTCCCAAATATCTTGCTGAGCTCTACCAGAAGTATGGGAAAGATAATCATGAGGCTAACCTGGTTCATCAAGTCAATGAAGATGACTCAAAGGATGATAAGATTGATGGCATGGATTATGAGCTCTCCGACCTCCTTGATTGATCTCAAAAATCTGAATTTGTTTTTCATTACTCCTTAAACTTTTATCTTTTGTTTTTTGAGATTTATTGTCTTTACTTTGGATTTTAAAACCTTTTGCTTTTACATTTTAATTTATGGAGTAATGTTTTATTTACATCTCATTTTTGCATGTTATTGAATTATAATTCTTGTTTAATAAAGATATGCAAGACAATATGGATATCATTGTGGATAGTGGATCGAGCCACACCATTCTAAAAGACAAGAATTACTTCATAAATTTAGTAATCAAAACCGCAAACATTAACACTATAGCGGGTAGTTCGAGCCTAATAGAGGGCCATGGCCAAGCTAATGTGCTGTTATCAAATGGCACATATCTAGACATCTCTGATGCCTTATACTCACCTAGTTCTAAGAGAAACCTATTGAGTTTCAAAGACATAAGATTGAATGGTTTCCATATCGAAACTCAGGATGAAGGGAACAAAGAGTTTTTAATTATCACTAAAATGATAAATGGCCATAAACAAGTTTTTGAAACTATACCCGCCGTATCTACTGGCATTTACCATGCTAAAGTCAGTATGATTGAGGCTAATGCTGCTATCAAAGCACGGTTTTTAGATTACACTATTTGGCATGATCGCCTGGGTCATCCCGGTGCGAACATGATGCGTAAATTAGTCCAGAATTCTAAAGGGCACAGCCTTAAACCAAATGGTATTTTCCCTCAGCACCTCAAGTGCACAGCTTGCTCACAAAGGAAACTGATTACCCGACCTTCACCAGTCAAAGTGTCTAAAGAGACCTTGAACTTTCTGGAAAGAATCCAAGGAGACATATGTGGACCAATTCACCCACTTTGTGGGACATTCAGATATTTCATGGTCCTCATTGACGCATCGACCCGCTGGTCGCATGTCTGTCTGCTCTCTTCTAGGAACCAGGCTTTTGCTAGGTTATTGGCCCAAATCATCAGATTACGAGCCCATTTTCCAGACTTCCCATTAAAGACTATACGTCTTG